GTCCCCGACGCTATCTCACCCTCCGTGGATGACCCATCCACTCCACTATTCCTCCTCTTCGTCTCATTGTCCGTTAGGCTTGCCTTTGTCTGTTGTGTGTTTTTCTTTCCGATCGTTTTCTTTTTAGTTAAATTAATATTTTCCATAATAATCCCACGAGTGGGGGAGAACTAAAGGTCCACCCGGGCAGAGATCCCCCATTACCCGGGCAAGCGTAAGTTTTTAACCCAACCGAGGGGTCCGCAGGTACCTCGGCTTGGAGTGCGCTCGCGACTGAACTTCCCATCAGCCATGCATCCCCTGGCCACGCACCAGAACACGGGATTCGGGGAATTTTTTAGAGAGGTTATCTTCCTCGCGGTCCGGGCGGTTAAGCCAAGACCCTCGTCCCCGATCAGAGCCGCGAGACTTAACCACAGCGCTCTTCTCGGGATTACGATATGCCGACGGTTGACAGGGAGACTACGTCCCCCTGCCTGCTCGGTGGTAGTGTGAGTACACGCCGAGCCCGTCCTCCTTTCTCCACCGCTATCAGCGGAGAAAACTGTGGCCCCTACAGGGCCCCGCCATCAGGTTTTTTACCGAGGTTTCCTCCTCCATGCTCCGAAGAGCGAAGAGCCAGCAGGGCAACCGGCAGACACGCCCACCCTGCTGGACCAGGCCTTGCCCGAGAGCCGATGAACGGCTACCTGTTCAGCTAGAATATTGGCCGCTGGCGATAATCCTCTCCTCCAAGAGGACAAGGAGGAAACAGTACCATCGCCAGCGTTTCCAGGGTGCACCACGAGGAGGTTTTCTAGCCCAGCACCCCATCCTCCATACAGTCCTGACCTAAGCCCTAACGATTTCTTTACATTTCCTAGAAAAGTCTTTGTGGTCAAATGTTCCAGTCCGGTGAAGAAGCAGTCGACGCTTTCAAGTCAGCCATTTTGAACATCCCCACTTTAGAGTGGAATAAATGTAATAATAACTGGTTTGAGCGAATGGAAAAGTGTTTTAAGCTACGTGGTGAATACTTTTAAAACAATAAAAAGTACTATTAGGTTCTAGTTGTGTTTTTTTTTTCTTCAAACGACAAAACTTAAAAGGCATGCCTCGTATATACTTCTAATTAATTCACACTTTTAGATTTTTTATTCAGTCTGGTCCCAAAATAGGCAGAGCCTGTACAACTTAAATAACCTGCTGATAAACATACTTATATATTTCTAAATACACGCATATTATAGATAAATTGCACCCAACACAGAACAAATGGTCGTGCTCTTCACATAATATTTGTCCTGGATGGGTATCGAACCGACGTCCATTACATATTGTAAATTTACTTAATTTAAAACGCATTCGTGGTGTAGCAGCAATAAAAACATGCTTTTATCAAGTAGCAAATAGTTAATATTTTTATTTGAACCATACTAAATTGCATCTACATTTAAACATTTCAGCTATTAAGAACTATGTCATAAGCACGAACGACCACGTTCTTAGGATACTGTTGCCGCGTTGCCGCTGTGACTAAGGGAACTTAATTTATACTTTTTAACCGATTTGCAAAACACGAATTTTTATTGAGCCTTATATTGAGGGTCCAATTATTTTGTTTTTTTTTTTTTCAATTAGATTTGTAATTATTTTTTAATTTATAGTGCTCTGATACTATTGTTTGAAGTTGGTTTAACTTTTGTTTCAAAAGGATTTAGTTTAATATAAAATTATTTGTTTTACTTTCTTTCTTAAAATTTGTGTAAGTGAGGATATGACAAGGAAAAGAGTTCCTAGCCATATCCTCACTCACACAGTCCAACCACCCTTTCTTTGTTCTTCCTTTTCTCTCGTGTACCCTTCAACTCCCATACCTAACACACAAATTCCCTTCGCCACATCTCCCTAGTGCCTCCGCATGACATGTCCATACCAAGATAACCTATTACTTCTTAACTTTTCATCGAGTGGTTCTTAACTTTCAGACCCAATCGTATATACTCATTCCTAACCTTGTCCATCCGAGTCACAGCATCTATCCATTTTAGCATTCGCATTTCGGATACGTTCAGGTATCTCTCATCCGTTCTCTTAATAGGCCTAATTTCAGAAACATACAGGACAGACGGCAAATCGTAGAAAAATAATAAGACCCAAAATCAGAATGCGGGCAAAAAAGTTGAGGACAATGAGCAAAAATACATTAAAATAATAAATACAAATCTGTGCAGGATGCAGGAAGCAATAATATATTTTTTTGTACAACATTTAATTGGCAGATTGTGCACGCTTATACAGAAGTCTGCGTCACCGCACCATATTATGTGAGCTGCTATAAAAATTAAACAATATGACTCCTGAAATAGTCCTAAATCCAAGAGTTTATAATAATCCTCTCATGTGATTATTGGTCAAAATTAACGCAATCTAAACGGTCTCAAATAAACGAATAATATATATAATATTTTTTTAACCTTTTTCACACCACGGGGTTAAAGGATTAGAAGGTACGGAGTTCAATTAATTATTGCATAGAATAACCGATGTGAGGCGATGAGCTTGCTTTCATAGCCGGAGGTGACCAAGGTCTAACATGTCACGGTTAGTTAGCCTTACCGGTGTTAAGTCCTCAGGCCACTTGGGCATGTAAGACTTTTTACTATCGCTTTAAGTAACAACAAGATTTAAAAAAAATAAGCACATATTATTAAAATAAACATATTTGTTTATTTTAATAATATGTGCTTATTTTTTTTATATATATAGGAATATATATAGGAATGACCTTCAGTCGAGGACCATATCCGTATAGGCCATATCTTTTGCAATGACTTTATACTGGGTAACACCCACGCGGATTCACACATAGATTATATCCATTATTTTCCGGTTCCGTGTACCTTTTAGTTATTTTACGGACCTTTATTTAAAACATAAATACGATATTCAGATAGAAAGTATATGTATTTTGACGTATTACTCGATTATCGCATCAAGGCAGACCACATAACCATACACATACATACACAACATACAGGAAGTCGGGGTTAAGGGGTTTTTTAAACATGTCCGGTTTCATAATAATTAACTTTTAAAACAGTATTACCAACTTAAATATGCGGACATTGTGATGAATTGTAATAAACCTTATTCCTCAATCCCTAATTTGCCACCTTACCACCTTTTAGAAACGCGAAGTATACCTTTACAAATCTTAATTCAAACCCAAAGAATTTTCCAAATTAGCGCAGAGTAAGCTAAAAGCTGAGGTATGAAAAATAAAATACGAAGTCAATTGCAATTAATTGATTTCTTTTTTTTTAATAGATTCAAAACAAATTTCGATTTTAAACCACTGTCTAAAAGCGCAAATCAAATATTTAAAGTCTTTCACAACCGAGACGTCTCGGGTCAAGGTTTTCGAGGGGTCAATGTAAAATCAATCACATGTTAAAGTTTTATACAAATGATTTATTATCTAAAGAAAATAAGTGACTGGGAATGATTCAAAAATTAACTACGATTTTTGTTCGTACGAGAAGCAATCTACTATTAAAAGTTTGCAATAATCATTTTAAGTATGTCTAAATTGAAAGATAATTGTAGTGCACGTATACATTTCTTTAATCTGCATGCGATTAGTTAACAGTTGCCAAATTCTGTTGCCTTGTCTGTATTGACGATTCTTACATTCTTTTTTACACATATGTAATTGAGATACTGCAGCACGGATTTTTATAAAGCCAGTATTTGAATATTTATGCACGAAAATAACAGACATTATCCTACCCAGAAAGGTAAATGTAATAACATTCTAAAGTAAACAGTAACAGTGTACAAGGCACGTTATAATCTCGTATCATGTAGCAGTTTGTGCTATGTCAGCAACTTATTTCCTTGAAAACATTCGTGCTCACATTTAAATTTCAACTGACGCACATTATGGTTTTTGACCGAAAAACCGGACATCTTATTTTATTTACATCAATCGATAAACGAAATCGTTTACAATGGACGAGTATAACTCCCGTGCGACAATTTTGATTGGAACGTAAGATATTGGAGATTAAAGTATTATTATGCAAAATATTAAGATATTTATACTTTGAAAAATTGCACTTTTTATTGCTTATACATGTAACTATACTAGTATTAACAAAAATGATTGTTTGCAACAAAAAATCTCAATATTATATGCTTAAAAAGAACGGAAAAATTTATTATTTTGTTGTTTTGTGTTTTTTCTTTATGATGAAGAATTGGGATCCTATTTTTGCTATGGTTACAGTTTATCACAATATGCATTAGAAAATAATGGTAAGGTTTTCTTGTTGTTGTTTATCACAGTTTATATAAAGTAATAACTTTTCAAAAATAGTTAATGTAAAATAAATTATGAGGTGACAACCCTAAGACCAAAATTATCTTTAAAAACTTTAGAAGGTTGTAGTTCCTAAATGCTACGGAATTTGGGATTGATTTTTTTGTATTTAGTGTGTAATATTAACTACAATAAAATTCTCCATATATTAAATATATGTACTTAGTCGTCACACCTCTCCGCGCACCACTAACGTTATAATTATTCATAGTCTATATAGATGAATATCTTTATTACGTTCAATATGTAATTAGAAGAGCAATAACTGTAGCAATAATTTATTACAATTTATTTTGAATAGTATTTGTGTCATTTGCTACTACAATTTCTAATAGCATGATGCTCATGCGCAATACTCGTAGATGTTAACGTTTAGATGAAGTCAAATTGGAAAGATTATGAATCAATCTAAATATATTTTCACAATAGCTATATCTGAGTGCTCTTGAAAATAAAATGAGGTCATCATTTTTATTTTTACGTTTTATACATACATAATAATAATCACACTGAATACGTAAATAAAAAAAATCAGTCAAGTCTACATTTGAAACAGTTTCAAATAGAAGGTTAATTTTATTCTTAGAGGTTATAAAAAATGATTTAAAAAAAATAATTAAATTCGTATTTCCTTTACCTGCTCCACAAATACCCGAAGGCCGTCTACCAGAATGTATGGAATCTCTCTTCATCCTCTGCACTAGACGTAAAGCTGTCATGCTAACCTCGTGTTGTTTATCCGCAAACTGCAACTGCGACGAGAACCGCAGTATGTATAGACAGGGGTCTGGAATAGAAGAAACAGATTTCAGTGTGTTAAAGTAACTGTTAATAAGTGTTTAGTTTTAGGAAAATATGGATTAAAACAGTTATTTCAAATCACTCGGTTAAAATTGTCATGATAGTTTACGAATATAGAAATGTTTTAAGCCTCGAGTAAATCACGGTGTGTATATTTCGTAGGTATGAATATGGTCATTAAGTATTTTCCACCCTCCTTTCCCCGACCCCATTTTTTTTTTAGCTGCGATTTTGGTATTTTTGTATGAACTTTCTGAAGTTATATTTTGCGTTCGTATGGTATGGCAGGGGAAAACCTTATTTTTAAGGGGAGACAAATTAAGTCTTAAGGCTGATGATGATGATGCTGCCTAGTCCTTAATTGAATATCGTATACCCAGTATAACAACGTAGTATAATAGCCCTACAGATTTTGAAACCTTCGGGAACCAACTAACAAACAAATACCGTCTGATCGCTGTGCGAGCTGTTAATTTTGTAAAAATACCTAATTATAACTTATGAGTGTTTTTTGTTTAGTTTGCTCAAGTGTGTCAAAGTAGCAATAATATACAACCGTGTGACTGGGAATTAAGTTTTTATCACCGATGTCCAAATTAGCAACAGTCAGTATTGTCTCATTTCAAGATTACAAAAACGTGTGTCCGGAACTTTAGAAGTAGTTGTAGGCACGTCTTGAAGTTGTAAACTAGTTTTGGTTGCCTATTTAGATCTAAGCGAAGGGGGCGTTGTGACAAACTACTTTGACCACTTTGACAGAAAATTAGTTTGGACACAATAATTTTTGGAAGAATGACCATTTTGAAAATTAGATTTCGCCTCGAGGCGCCTTTGACTGTTGAATTTCTTGTGGAATTTGTCCAGTATAACTATAACTATGATTGCATAGACTTTTGTACCGTGCCAAATTACATACCGCAATCATACAACTTTAGAAATGAAATCGTTTATTCATATGTATAGTTTGTATGTATTGATGTATGTATTTATTCGTATATTCTATAATGTAGCCGTTAGTAAATATTTTTAACTTTATAGCACATATCGTGCCGAAATTGCACTTTTGCTACATATAAACTTTAAGTATTTCAAATTTTACAATCCTGTTTGTGCTCGTTAGCTTAAAAATTGTGTTTTAAAATCTAAAATGATGTTACATTACCTAAATTTTATGAAAACGGGCATCTGTCTAAATCTTGTTCTTTTTTAGCACTACTGTAATTAGAATTTAAGATCAGTGTTACTGTCATGTTACCACCAACATGACACCTTATTGATTTTTTTAAATGCAGTTTATCTACGTAATAATCAATCACGGTTTGGTTTTTAGTTTAAATTATTAATTATTCATGACCTACTATGGAAAAAATGTATTAATGGACTATGATTCAACGTGGGGCTTTCCTACTGACTCATTTTACAAGAATATAAGTTTTATGATATGTTATGTATTCTTTTGGTGCACGTGTGACTACAAAACGCCATTTACTAAAAAAAGGAGAGGCCAGTCAGGACCAATTAAAGTGGTTTTTAATATTACCACAAACAAAAAAGTTTTAAGGTAATCAAAGTTTTCCTAAATATTGTTGTATAACAAAAGTAGCTGGAAATGTCGATGTCGAAATTTTTAAACTTTACACAATAATTTTAAAGACAGACTTTTTTATTACTGGAAATAGCCTTCACCTATACCAGTACACGAAACGAAGCTATAGCAAGAATAAGCAATACAGTGGGCTATTAGTCATGGACGTGTTAATGTTAAAAGTTAACATTAGACATTGTGCACATATCCACATCAAAATTTTTACAAATACTAGTCGCTGTTTTGTCCGCATTTATGGTGACAACACAGTCGACACTTAGGAGTGAGTTATTTGAGTAAACTATCCTGCTGTTAAATTGCCTATAACCTTTCACAATAATTGATTAAACAAATGAAGAACACGACTAGTTAGTTCTAGTGATTATAGCTGTCCACTAAAATAAACAATTTGTTTATTTTGAATCACAATATTTTAGGTCAGTATAGAAAACGATATAATACATAGAGCAACACACGCCACCGGCGGACCGGCGTATTGCTCTATGATATAATATATTAAATTGGATTATGATTTCTACTAATAATAATTTTAATTTTTTTTTGGCGTGTGAAATACAAATACGATAACCATATTTGTTTTTTTTTTCTTAAAAAGACAACTTCAGCATTAGGAATATCTCCTGTGTCGCGGGGCACTTTACAAATATCCATGAAACGGACACAAAGAACACCCAGACTCAGAACAACAATTTGTGGATCACACAAGTGTCGTCCCACGTGTGGATCGGACCCACAACACTCAGCGTAGTAGTGAGCGTGATCGGGGCGACCGCTTAAACCACTATGCCATCCCTGCAGTCTCATATTAGGATTCATAACTATCTGTTTCTTTTCATTAAGCTACAAATCGGTAACTTTTGTCTGACAAACCATATTTAAAAAATCCTTTTTTCTTTATCGCTTAATCTGGTTCTTGTCAAGAAATCGACTACTAGTGTTGAGAGAAATCAAAATGTTAAGGGTATGACACTAGTTAAGTACATACTATTGTGCAAAGTAAGTTTAATTAGATTGTGCAAGCGCATATAATAGACCTTGCAGAATAAAAAATAGTGTTACTTTCAATGCACTTTAAAAAAAGGACAGTTGTAAACTGGATTGTCTCTAGTTGATTTGAATGTCTCTCTTCATCTAAAATGACCTACAATAAAGTATAATTTTAGAAGCACTATTAGCAGTAGTGTAGCTTCTATTGTTCTTATGTTATTCAGGGTTGTATGTTAGCATGGCGCGTTGTTGCTAAAAAAAATATTAATGACCCCTCTATGCAAGTCTAATGGCCACATTGCTCATTCTCGTTGGTCAATTGAACTGCACGCCTTAATACATGCATAGTAATAGAATTCAACCTGAAACATTTAATTTTAAATATTGCAAAATCAACTGCAGTATCACGTGATCATCCTACAAATACCTTTATTTAATTACATATTTATAAATATTGCAGTCTAAGAGCGTATACAGGAAGGATAGTCAGGCGTAGTAACCGTTTTATATCTTATTGAGAGTCGACTTTCGAGGACACTAAAATATTAACGTTGTGTGTAACAACACGGTGAATGATACAATTGAAGGAAATACACGATAAAGTTACTTACTTGTCTTAGATCAAGGGAGATGGAAAACAGGATTTAAATGACGAAGCAGTTAAGAACCCTGGAGTCCTATTAATTAGTGCTCAAAATACTTCTAACTTTTCTACGTTCTTTTGATCTTTATATATATTTTAATATAACAATATAATGATGCCGGTTTCTAATTCGGTACGGTCATATTATATATTTTTTATAAGACAGACACACTTAACAAGTATTTATATTTAGATGTTGGTCGCAGCTATTTTGTAAAATATTACTGTTTTGTTCGATAGAAACAAAAATTGAATTTCTGTGCAATTAATGTTACTTTTTATGAAATTTAAAAGAAGAAAGATGTATTCAATTCGGTCGTATTTGTATTCCGAGAGCTGGTAAACAATTTTTGATTATAAAATATTTACTTTCATTAAAGCAAAATATTCATTTTTTCTGTCGAAAATATTAATTTACACATAAATATCTTTGTACACGCTATAGACAGCTTACGTAGGTATAGTAAGATCAACCAGGGTCAGCGTATTTACATTAAACGTTACGATAACCACATTTTACATTCATTAGAACCAACATCGGCCCTGAAGTGGGAGGAAAACAATGTTATTTATTTTAATACTATTTTATCCAGGCTTCTCTGTGCAAAGCTGAGATAATAACTTTTCGTTCCTTTTGAGACTAAATAAAATAATTATTGTCGCCATGTCTTCCTTACACTATTTTTTTTAAGTTTTTACAAACTCATTGGTATTTTTAGCTTGAATTTCCTATAACAACTTATATAACTTATATAACATAACTTGAATCAACAGCCTATAACAGTCTACTGCTGGACATAGGCCTCTCCTAAGAAAGGAGGTTATGGCCTTATATACCACGCTGGCCAGACGGGTTGATATAGAGTTTGTTTCAAGTTTTCCTTCTCTTCGCAGTACTGTTGTCTTGCGTAGTTTGCTCCCCTAGTCGGCTGAAGAGTTTGTTGCCTCCCGTCCAGCTGATTTTTACAAGAAGGGCATCAATAAACTGCCAATGCGTTTTCAAAGATGCGTCGATTGCATGGGTGATTACTTCGAATAACAGAAATAAAAAAGTTTGAAAAAATAAGTACGAGTACTTTCACTTATTGCATACAAAACGGCAATTTCATAGGTAAAGACCTAGAAAGTAGTAGTAATAAATATTACTACTACTTTCATAATATTTTATTATTGAAATCCTGTTGTAGGTAGTATCGCAGGTCTTTTTTTCAGTAGGTTTAGATGAATTCGATTAAGAAGCCATGTACTAACGTTCTGCTGCGTTAACTTAGTTAAGTTACATGGAAATATACCAAATATTTAAAATAGAGGTCAATTACAAAAGTATATTTCTGACTAATATTAAAATGAGAAAGTGTGTCTGTCTGTCTGTTACCTCTTCACGCTTAAACAGCTGAACCGAATTAGATGAAATTTGGCATAGAAATAGATTTAGCAAATCAATCGAACCGCTGAACCGATTCAGATAAAATGTGGTATTAAGATAGATTGATTCTTTATTAAGGACATAGGCTAATTTTTACTACGATAACCGACATACACGGGAGCGGAGCCGCCAGCAAAAGCTAGTTTCTGATAATGGTGAATTCTGAGGAATGATCGAAAAAGTCATTGGCCTTTGAAGCCAATGATTTGTTTATTACGCAGACATATATTTTGATTATCAAAATAAAATATTACATTTTTATACAATTATACATATACTTAAATATCAACATGTTTCTAGACCACAACAACCCAAAAGAGATTTGTTTTTATAATGCAAGAAAAATATTTATTAAGCATTTTAAAACGATTTCTTTGTAGTTAACGGTGTCGGCAACTATACGGCTATACGGACAAACGTGTTTCATATGAAAACAAAGGCAATCTCGCTAAGCAATAGCATGTATATGGTCTGCTTACAGGCTGCGCATGCGAGACTTGCATGCCAATAGCGCTATATGCCACCCGCGCTAACCTCATTCGTCGTTCGAATAGAGCTGAGAATTAAATAAAGATAAAAATTCACATACTTAAGTGATGGCAAGGCGAGGCTTCGTGTTGCTTTCCAAATTGAAGCCAAAGATCTTGAACCAGATTGTGGTTAAGGCAAAAAGGGCTACGAAAAGGAATACAGTATGGATGTCGAAGACAGAAGTCTATACGGTAATCGTGGTCTAAGCAATAAAGTAACATGACCGAGTTCAACTGTTGATGTTCAATATAAATAAAGATAAACGAGGTTCCACATTCATTGGCAATGCTGTTTCTTATCAACTGAGTGTAATATTTTGGACTAAGTTTTCCGCAGGAAAACAATTCAAGCTTGGGCAACAAGAAGCAGAGAATAACTCAGAGGTAAGGGTATACAGATCTAAGGGTGCGTAAAGCAAGGCGCTGTCGTTATAAGTGCTGTGATGCGCGGTTGAAAATGGGACGCTTCAAAATTCGACGTTCTGAAGTTACAAGAGAACAATTAGAATTGACAACGCGACGTCAGTAAAGTAGCCGAAATTTTAATTTGAATAAATGGTTTTCTTATAAGCTGGCGTTGATGCGAAGTGTGTGATCGTAATGCGCTTAGTGATATCTGTTTATTGTTATTATTAACAATAGGCATTCAGTGTTTTATACGGAGATCCGATACATCACTCTGTGCTGTATGGTTCTTTTACATACACAGTGTAAAATGACTTTTAGGTCGTTAACTTTCACTGTCGTTCTATAGTTCAGGCAATGGCATCATCTAATGCTGATGATTAACTTTGTTTGTGCCAATTCTTTGGTTAATAAAAAAAAGCAAGACAAAGCCAGCAAACAATTTGGTTGAATACACCACTCAAAGAGTCATGTAGAAGATAAAGACTATCTTTTCACAAAACAACAAGTAGTTGTGTTTTACGAATTGGGCAAATATTACGGAGATGGTGGTATGGTGATTTTTGAATTCAAGATTGCAGAAGCATAAGCACTGCTCGTGATTCTAAGAAAAACAGGCCTGCGAAGGAGCAAAGTCCTCTGTTCGCAATAGTGTGATTGCTTGACGTGTCCAAGGTCTGCCGGGATTCTCAAGAAGTTACTTCCTAAGGTATTGGCGAGTCCCTTGTAAAAGACAGGCTTGTGACGGACCACAGTGTGTTTTAGTCCAGTGTCTAAATTTTTATGAAAAACTGCTAATAAAAACGCAAAAAGCGAATCTGCAACTGTCTTGACAGCTAGGCTCTTTACTTGGCAAAGAACCTTGATGAGTCACTATCTTATGTAACCACATAATACACACAGTATTTCAGCAATGCACCTCACTATTCCATTGTACTGTAAAGTAAATGATTACATCGATTACCGGATTACTAAGATAATGATCGAACGCGAACCAACTAACATACTTGAGATTAAACTTGAATTCGAACTTGGTCTAATTTGGTTTGAAAAAAAATTGTAACAAAATTCTTTAGTCATTTTTATTGTGACCAGCTCCATTACCCTCTCTGCTCATCTTTCTAATATGACAGCTTGAACTAAAGCCACAATACATTTGCGACATTAGTGTCTTGAATACATGCATCTGAATGCACACATCAATCTTTCTTTTTTACAAAAAGCTTTCTAGTCACAATAAAGTTGAGAGTTGAGTACGAAGGTTTTTAGGGTTGTAACTGACCTCGATAACTTTGAATCAACTTACTGGGGTCAACGAACCGGGTAAAAAATAATTCCAATGGTTTTAAGCGACTACGTGCATGTAGGTCACTGTGGATGTACAACGTACATGGATACAAGTAATTATGTGGCTCCACTCTCCATTCTCTTCGACTTTATCTTCAATTTTTTTTACAGAATTACCGGTAATTTGCGATGACAGCAAAACTTTCACATAAGGTTTTAAGTCCTTAAATAAATTAAGCTTCCAATCTTTACTTCATCATTTGTGTTAAAGGTACATAAAAGACGCCAAATATTTAAGATGGTCTAGTCATAAATTTATGATATAAAAAAATATAGTTTTAAAAAACTAAAAAAACATGCTTTATATAGAAAACCAAACTAAAAAATAGAAAATAAATTTGAAAAAAAAAAGCGTTGGGTGCCTGTTGTCAATAGTAAAAACCACCCCACAAGCAGCAACACATTTTTTTTTCTTTTTTATTTTAGTTACTGTATTGTCATCGGTCCTCGATATATCTACAAAGTTTGAACGAATTCTGACCGTTTAAAGTCAGTCAAAATCACGCCCAAAGGAGTCGGTTACAAACAAACATACAAGTGAAGCTAATATAAAGCGTGTAAAAAGACAAAGACAGCACTTAATGTAGGTCTATACGCCTTTTTGTAACCCTTCATTAGGCTTTCAATGACGCTACAATAACCTACAGAACAACTAAGCAAGTATACTATGTAAATGTAGGTACGTGCCATATAAGCAATTTCGTTAAAGTAATATATTTATCAATCGTGCACAACATAATATACCTATGCTTATTAAATCTTGGGAAATTTCTTAACAGTATCATTTAAGACAAAGACGTGTTCAAGCACCAAAATCGACCACTTAATTTCAATACTCCATTACTATGCTCTACATTGATGAACTATGACATCATATTACTTTCTCGTTCCAACTTGGCTGCACTGGAAGCAGGTGTCCCCTATGGCCTTGCGCAAGAGTCTGGTCAGCGACGCGAGCACCGACGCGCTGTGAGATTAGTGGCAGTCGGTTGTACGCATTGGCGCGAACGCTTCGACTCACATCGACTTCAGGCAGAAACAGAAACACTGTTTTTAAAATAAAAACGTTAATAACATATTCTCAGTTCGTTAACCTGTGTTTTATAAACAAGTGTATTGTTTCTAGTATTGTGACTTGTGACAAATTTGTATCCAAATCTGTGGTCATGTTGCAAGGGCACATTAGGTGTCCGGAAGGAATGAAATGAAGGGAAGGAGTATCAGAGCACCAAGTAAACTTCCAGTAGTACTAGGGAAAGTACTTCTGCGCTGGATCTTCACCAAAGCAGACCTCGTATTCTTCGTTTACCGGTTTGTTTTTATCTATGTTAATGTCTATGATATGATACATCTTTGACGCTACGGGTATCCTACAGTGAGACTGCCGTGAGGATAAAATCGTGTGATTTTTTATGTAGAATTACGTTATATTATTGAAAGAATTATAAGCAGTTGGTAAAAACGTAATAAACTCAATTATTTTATATGAGCCGGTCTTAATTAGAGGAGAAACGAATAGTTTATCAATAAGAACAAGATTTACATTTTAATAAATTGTACGCATTCCCGGGATATTTTCTAAACCCTTATCTTTTTCACGTTACACTCGTACATGGATATAGAGATTGACTAAGGTTAACAAGATTAAAAATATTCTTGTCCTTGCATAGTTCCTTATTATTTGACATTATTTATCCGGGTCTACACGTCATCCGCATTTCTATAGCATTGAATATCGACTGTTTTTAGACCGACAGTTATTTTGTTACCTTCAAAAGATCGAGAACATATGACTTTGATAATTGTTCATATGCCATTTCAAGATTGCCATTGCCTGTTTTAGGTTCATCATATTTAAATTATATACCCACGTATGCCAGTTATAAAAAGGCTTTTATGGTTCTTATTTCTCCAGTACAAAATGTCATTGATGTTAATGAAAGATACTCGTTTTTATTGCAAAAGAAAGTCACGTAAGTTCTTTCGAAAGTATTTTAATGTCATTCAACAAACTTAATGTTGTGTTGTTTTTAGATAGTGTTAATTAATCAGTAAATCAAAGATCAATAACAATGTTCGGCATTACAAATTTATTTAAAAAAAAAATACCCTTGACTTATAATCATTATCGTTTAAATCAACTTTCAAACTATTAATGAACAATTAAACCTTTAACAGTATTCACATGTAGTATGAAACATCTAGTTTCTCCTATTATCTATAATACATACAATCTATATTCGATTCAAATTTTCAGTAGAACATGGTAGAATCAAATCTATTTTGTACTAATAGTAGAACAAAAGCGTAGAACATATTGAAATAGTCGAACAGTACATACTACATGGTTGTTTTTCTTGTTAAGTATGAATTAACTTAGTTTTCTTGTTAATCTTCATACTATTTTACTAGCTTGTAGGCGCGGCTTCAATTCAATATCGATTATTTCAACCCAATTTTTCTTGTTAAAAAGTAGACTGTAATCTATCTCTGAGCCAAATTTTATTCCGAGCCGTTCAGCTGTACGTACATCTTGACGACCGGATGGCGTACTGGTTTGAGTAATGGACTGCTATTCCAAAGGTCGTGGGTTCGATTCCCGCTAAAGTCAAACATTTGAACATTTAATTTTTGATTTGGTCTGGGTGTTTCTATATATAATATGTATGTATGTATTGTATCAAAAAAAAAGTATAGGTATATGTATTTATATCAGTTGTCTAGTACCCATAGTACAAGCTCTGTTTAGTTTGGGACTAGATGGCGATGTGTGAATGCGGTACAATATTATACTATTTTATTATTACATCCATTTTCATATACATTCGCGTTTATAATATTAAAGGGGTTTATTACCAACCGGGCAGCCCCAGCGGTATAGGCTCTGCGTTGATAAACCACTCAGGCAGACGAGTCAATTTTAATGTATAAGTAGATATGGAGTATTCAGCCCCGCTAGACTTCACACATCACACGGCCGTCTGATCCCAAACTAGGCAGAGCCTGTGCTACCAGACTGTCGATAAACATGATTATATATTTCTAAATACATACATATTATAGATAAATTACACCCAGACACAGAACAAATCATCATGCTCATCACACAATCATTTGTCCTGCCTGGGAATCGAACCTACGACCTCATGCTTAGGTCATGCAGTCAGGGTCTAACCACTAGACCAAAAGGCCCGTCTAAAAAAAAACAAACAATTAAGTAATTAATTTAGAAACTTATTTATTAGAATTTACTTTATGCCTTACGATTTGTTCAAAAAGCAGAAGGTCAAGTCTCGTAATTTTTATTACGAGAATTGACCTTCTGTCGTACAAATGTACAAAATTCAGTTCCGATCTACTCTCAATCTTACAAATGTCATAAAAAGTATTTTTGTAGTAAAGTATTTTTGTAGTAAAGTGTGTGAAACATCTAACGTTGACTGTAATGTGATTATATCGTATTGTGACCAAAAGTTGAATCGGTATTCTGCTAGTCTTAGTAATACTTTTTTAAATTTGAAAAAACTACCGTACATACCGAGTTTAAAAAAAAATTAAATTATGAAAATAACCGGCACCTTCACAACAAAACCCTTTTCTTCCTAAATTAGCTCCTAAGAGATAATATAAGTTTTTTATTAGGGAGTTATTTCGATGCGTTACTTGTTAAACTCGGAACTGATATAAGATCATAATTTCAACAATTAACTTTTTAAAATGTATCAGAGTTCATCTGAAGCTAGATGCGCCTAAATCATGATGAACTGTAATAAGCTGTATTCTTTAATTCTTTTTCTACAATTTGAAATCGGTTAATAAATGACGGAGTTAAAACATAAAAACATGAAAAAAAAACCGAATTGAGAATCTCCTTCTTTTTTTAAATTCGATAAAAAAAAAACCTTCTTATATCAGCATATTGGAACGGGCAATGAAGATACAGAAAATATTTTTGTGATTTTTAACCCAACATTCTTTTCATATTATCAAAACTAGACAGACTTGTTTCTTTATTTTATTAGATTAAATCTCGTAAACAGGCAAATTTTATGTAGAGTAAAGCACTTGGACAAGATTTGTACCTAATCAAGTTTAAATCACTGGCATACGAAAGAGCAACAATTTTTAGGACCATAAAAAAGTGTTTTGCATAACACGTTTTATTTAAATTTTGTGGAAATATCTACAGCATGAGTTTAAAGTATTGTTATAAATATATAAATGATGGATGATTCATCCATAGAAGTTTGGGTGATTTTATGTAGATGCATTTAGATGGAGTAAGATGGAGTAAGATGGTGTAAGTTCTTTGTAGAATCTTATATATAAAATTCTCGTGTCACAATGTTCGTTCCCGTACTCCTCCGAAACGGCTTGACCGATTCTCATGAAATTTTGTGTGCACATCGGGTAGGTCTGAGAATCGGCCAACATCTATTTTTCATACCCCTAAATGGTAAGGGTGACCCATCCCTAATTTTTTTTTGTTTTGCAATACAACGTTTGCCGGGTCAGCTAGTAATAATATAATAACGTACTAATACCCAGAAGAATAATATTATTATGTACAATAATTTCTTGAATATCATATTGCATTCTTCATATGTTTATTTCTCCATTATTGGTGGAGACTTGTATCTAATCTTGTATTTAATGAATCAAATTCAGTAAATACAAGATAACATACATAGGTACCTATAATAAACAGAAGTGAGGATGTAAATAAGATCTAACCGTAGAACAACCGGTTACAAACAAAAAATCAATGGCTTCGTATTGTCTGTAATAGCTAGATATTGATCGTGATATTCCGTGTACTCTACCCGGATTTGACTTCGGATTAGAAATCCCATTGCAATAGCAATTAACACCTCTACCAGTAGTACTTCCTGTATATTTTAGCATTTCTGGTAGTCACTCTAGTAAATTGTTTGGTTTTTGCGGTTTTTTCTGGTTTGGTTTTTTCTTTTTTTTTTTTGAAAAAAAATTTTTTGTTTGTTTTTTTTTTTTTTTTTTTTTTTTTTTTTTTTTTTTTTTTTTTTTTTTGTTTTTTTTTTTTTTTTGTTTTTTCTTTTTGGTTTTTTTTTTTTTTTTTTTTTGTTTTTTTTTTTTTTTGGTTTTTTTTTTTGTTTTTTTTTTTTTTTTTTTTTTTTGTTTGTTTTTTTTTTGTTTTTTTTTTTTTGTTTTTTTTTTTTGTTTTTTTTGTTGTTTTGTTTTTTTTTTTTTTTTTTTTCTTTGTTTTTTTTTTTTGTTTTTTTTTTTGTTTTTTTTTTTTTTTTTTTTCTTTTTTTTTTTTTTTTTTTTGTTTTTTTTTTTTTTTTTGTCTTTTTTTTTTTTTTTTTTATTTTTTTTTTTTTTTTGTTTTTTTTTTTTTTTTGTTTTTTTTTTTGTTTTTTTTTTTGTTTTTTTTTTTGAATTTTTTTGTTTTTTATTTTTTTTTTTTTTTGGGGGGCTTTTTTTTTTTTTTTTTTTTGTTTTGATTTGGTTTTGGGTTTTTTTTTTTTTTTTGGGTTTTTTTTTTGGGTTTGTTTTTTTTGTGTTTGTTGGGGTTTTTTTTTTTGTTTTTAGTTTTTGTTGGTTTTTGTTTTTTTTTAAGGGTTTTTGTTTTTTGTTTTTCCCTGGTGCCCTTTTTTGGTTTTGGTTTTTTTTTTTTTTTTCTGTTTTTTTTTTGTTTGTTTTTTTGGGTTTTTTTGCCCCTTTGTTTTTTTTTTTTTTTTTTGTTTTTGGGTTTTTTTTTGGGGCTTTTTGGGTTGTTTTTTTTTTTGAAAAATTGGGTTTTTTTTTTTTTTAAGGCTTTTTTTGTTTTTGTTTTTTGGGTTTTTTTTTTTTTTGGGGCCTTTTTGGTTTTTTTTTAAATTTTTTTGGGGTTTTTTTTTTGTTGTTTTTTAAGGGTTTTTTTGGTTTTTTTACTTTCTTTTTTTTTTTTTTTTTTTTTTTTTTTTATGTGTCTTTTTCTGTTTTTTTTTTTTGTTTTTGTTTTTTGTTTTTTTTTTTTTTCTTGTTCTTTTTTTTTTTTTTTTGTTGTTTTTTTTTTTTTTTGGAAATTTTAAGGCCGCGTAGGCGCGGGGGGCCAAGGAGGCCCGCGAGCTGAGGAGGAAGTGGTTAAATTCATCTGCGACAATGAGCTCGCGTGGGACCGCCAGAGCTCCGCAGCGTTCTTGCTTGCATGCTGCATGCTTGCCTGCATTCCTGCTTGTATGCTGCGTGCTTGCCTGCATGAATGGTGTACGCGTGTTTGCATGCTTTTCATAGGCAAATAAAAACCAATCCAAAAATATATGTGTTCAATCAATCAATTTTTATTTTATTTT